ATATCATCATAGATCAACACCGTAATATCTTTATACTTAAACACTCTATCCTCTCTCAACACTTTGTCGTGATCTACAGTTTATGACAGTCAGATGGATGATCATATCATTAGACCTCCTCCACTCTCCTGTGTTCTATCATCATAGATCACCACCGAAATATCTTTATACTTAAACATTCTATCCTCTTTCAACACTTTGTCGTGATCTACAGTTTATGACGGTCAGATGGATGACTATGTCATAAGACTTCCTCCACTCTCCTGTGTTATATCATCATAGATCACCACCGTAATATCTTTATACTTAAACACTAACATCTTTCAACACTTTGTCGTGATCTACAGTGTATGACAGTGAGATGGATGACCATGTCATTAAACCTCCTCCACTAACCTGTGTTCTATCATCATAGATCACCACCGTAATTTCTTTATACTGAAACACTATCCTCTTTCAACACTTTGTCGTGATCTACAGTTTATGACGGTCAGATGGATGACCATGTCATTAGACCTCCTCCACTCTTCTGTGTACTATCATCATAGATCACCACCGTAATATCTTTATACTGAAACACTCTAACATCTTCCAACACTTTGTCGTGATCTACAGTGTATGACGGTCAGATGGATGACTATGTCATAAGACTTCCTCCACTCTCCTTTGCTATATCGTCATAGATCTCCACCGTAATATCTTTATACTGAAACACTATATCCTCTTTCAACACTTTGTCGTGATCTACAGCTTATGACAGTCAGATGGATGACCATGTCATTAGACCTCCTCCACTCTCCTGTGTTATATCATCATAGATCACCACCGTAATATCTTTATACTTAAACACCTCATCCTCTTTCAACACTTTCTCGTGATCTACTGCTTATGACAGTCAGATAGATGACTATGTCATTAGACCTCCTCCACTCTCCTGTGTTATATCATCATGGATCACCACCGTAATATCTTTATACTTAAACACTCTATCCTCTTTCAACACTTTGTTGTGATCTACAGCTTATTATTATCACTCTTGGAAATCAAATGACACAGACAAATATACGCATGAAAACTATGAACTAAATTTGATTCAATATTAAAATATTAAATTATACCAGTATTTTAATGTTAATACTTGTTTTATATAAATAACACCTGTATTTTAGTTTATGCATATTAGAGAGATATGAGATAGATAATAAAAATATTCTCCGACACTCAGCGTAAATTGTCACAGAAGAATGAGGGCAGGATTAGCTCAAGCGAGGCGGGGATGTCTTACACAAGATTTGCTCTATTCTTATTCAAGTATGTAGAGAATGTATGTATTATTAAAGGTTAAATATTTTCTTTAAAACTTTTCATGTTTTCGTAACAACTGAATCCTTCTCAAGTATTAACTTTGGAGATAAGTGTTAAAAGTAGAATATGAATCTTCTGCCATGGTAATCGAAAAAAATTATTTTTGTCATTATAAGTCATTATTTTTGTCATTATTAAGGTCAGTTTTAATAACTGACCTTAAAAAGAGACAAATTACTGTAAACTTGTTTACTTAAGAGGTAGTATTTAAATACGTATGTAGTACGTAGTAATGTATAGCATCATGATCCTTCGGCATAAGATTGAACGTTACATAGAAATGACTTAGGCTAAACATTTATTTGTGTTTATGATCAAAGAAAGTTGTTTCGTGCTTGCTCCTAGGTTTGGTTCAAAGACCACGAGGGCAGACGCAACTGCTAATGGCTTTCCAGCACGAACAAACGGTTACACGATTGTTGATAACGACATATCCCTTTCTCTCTCTCTTCCTTTCCCTCTCTCGCACGCCCGTTTCACAAGTGAAAACAACTAAAAAAAGTATAAGTTTAACATTGGTGAATATATTTTAATAAAGATATCAAACTAAACATAGAGGGCAAGTACTGAACATTCTATGTATCATAAGCATTATAACAGATGAGTTTGATCAGGTTTTTTAAAAATATATAATACTTTTGTGGAGCAATCTACAATTTTCATACATGTAGGAACAGTAACATGTATTAAGATATTGTACGTACATTAAAATGTAGACTTACTTAAACATTCCAGACAACATTGGTGTCAACATTTTAAATCTCAATATTATAATTGTTTTAAAGAATTGACAAAAACTCTTTTATGTTTAAATGATCTTTAAATTGAATAAAACAATAAAACAAAAGAAACATGATTGTTTCGATGAAAATATATTTTTAGAAGACACAAAGAGTATAACAAATCTAGAAACCCGATCTCTGTATTTAATGGCAAACGTGCGTCCGGCTGGACTTAATTCTACTTTACTGCGGAACAAAACTAAATACTGTCCTATCCCCTGCTTTGTTTAACAGATATTTACCTCTTCTGCAACTACAGCTTTTCCCGCTCATCAAATAAGGTTTGTTAACTCAACTAATATACTTAGTAAAACGAATTTGAGACCGTTAACAATACCAGGAAATATCACGTAACCAGGAAATATCTGAATGTGCTGCTCTCTACATCTCGTAGTTATTGTAAAAAGTTTTTATAACATATAAAAAGCATGATGGCTAAAAAATTTCATAATAAATATTTTCTATTTTTTCATTTAAAAAAATGATTTTTTGTTGGTATGCATATATAATTCTTGTACGTTATGGTCGTTAGGAAAGGACAGTTCAAATTATTCCTGTCATTACACAACTAGGTATTATTTATTAAATAATTGAGTGGAGCGAGCGAAGCTCTTTGGGATCAACTTCAATGCAAATAAAAACACTGTACCGTGCAATATAAAAGTTAAAATAGCCATTATACTGGAATATCACGTTTTAAAACACTGATGTAATTCCAACCATCCTTAACTAATTCTGCATTATCTAGTTGTGAGATTGTGTGATTACAATTCTGTGATAGCTACTGAACAAAGCGTGTTTACATCTTAATACTGAGTGTGGAAAGGAACAACAAAATAAAACACAAGCAACGTGGAATAAATTGGCATAGATTAAGTAAATGTAACAGGGTGTGTAAAGCCCTAACAGTGAAAGAAGGGCTTCACGAGCTCATGAGATGCTTATCGCGCGATTAAACAGGCGGAGAAGACGAGCGAGATCCTATAAACCTTACCTCAGGTAACTGTAATTCTGTACGATATAAAATCCTTTCCTTTAAGTTTCCAACATCAAATATAACCTTTATTTGCGTTAACCTTGATAATGTACGTGAAGGCCAGCATACATTTATGATGGTTAAACTTTAGATATTAAATATCCTCTATGTATCATGTCAAATCTTATTTTCGCTTGTAGAATTTTTTTATCAATTTTAGCAAATGGTTTTAGGCAGCCAATGATGCTGTTTTTGTTGTCAGAGAAAGACAATTAATTGGGATATTTGTGTTTAAATATTCACTACCCAAATAGCAACGGTCCTGAAACTTCCCACCACGTGTTAATTTATAAATAATACTAGACAAAACAGGATCATAACTAAAATTTTACGTTACGTAAACTTTTTGTCTGAGTTAAAACCTTGTAATATAAAAGTGAATATTGAAGAGTTATTTGAGTGACATCCATCATGTTCCTCATAGGACTGGATCATAATTGATTTAAAACGGGTCTTTAGAGAAATCTGTACATACTAATTGACGGTTTGGTTTCGGAGACATCATATATTCAATAGGTTTGTAACAGTCGTTTGATAAGCAATTTTCCTGCATTCGGTAAACAATCGCTCTTTTAATTAGTCACATCCATTTTCTGTCCCTGGCAAAGCCACCTAGAGGCTAATTGGATTATTAATTACTCTCGAATGGTCTTGAGGCTGTTCCTGTGTAATTAGTTTTTGCGTTCTCCACTTGAATGAAATGCTAAAATTAAACTGTTTGAGGTTGGATATTGTTTACTTGTGCATTTATTCAGCTTGAAATGGTTAAATTACGATTCAAACGTAAAATCACATTTTAAAAGTAGACCTATATTTCTTCTTTGCATACTGCTCATTATAAAAATACGATTAATTATTTTACTAATATTTTGCATAAAATATTACGAAAACATATAACTACAATTCCGAAAGGGTTGCTTTAGTAATCATTGATGGGATTAATATTTCAATTCGACATACCTGTAGACCTGACCGAGGTTATAGTGCGCATTGACGTGGGACGGCGAGATCGTAATGGCTGACAGAAAGTGATTCTCGGCTTCGTTTGGAGAACAGCTTGCCTTAATTCAAATGCAGCTCATTAACAGAGCCACATGCCCCAGAGTACTAATGGGGCCTTAGAGTTAAAAGAATCGAAGCTATGGGAACCCGTGACATACTATCATTCAAAATAGCTGTTTTATATTTGACCTAACCCGCCATGTTAAACTTCCCTATCCCAAGCGTGATGTATACAACTTCTTTACTTCACGAGTGAAGTAAAGTTTCAAAAACTCCATTGGGTGCTCAACCTAAAAAATTATACCTCTATGGAGCCAACGACGTTTAACGCTGGAAATCAGCTGTGCGCTTGAATTTTATTGTTATGCTTAAAAGAATTATCCTTACCTAGCTTTTGTTTGTAAAAGAATGTTACTGTTATAAGATGAGTGAAATGGATAATGAAAAATATTGTACGTAACCCCCTACATATTGTCGGGTCAGGTAAAATCTTGTACGTTACACGTTATGCAAGAGCATGTTTACATCACTTAGGTGAATTATGCAACTCGCTTCTGCTCGTTGCACAACATTCACCTGCGTGATGTAAAAACACTCTTACTACTCTTGTAAGGTAAATAGCTATTACAAATTGAACGCACATCATAGCATCCATCATCATTTAATGGATTTAGTGAAGCAAATATTAAATTACTGTTTAGATAAACAAGCATTTCATGCACAACTAAGAACCAAACATGGTACAAACTAATAAATCTTGAGCTCCCAAAAAGCAATGTAAGAAAGCAATGTAAGAAGCAATTCTTTCAACTTACACTATGCATGTTGATAAGAAACCCTGTTCTTTCTTGGAAATCCTTAACACGATCAAAACCATATTTTGTGTCAATGGAGTCATTCTCCAAAGATTGTTTTATGCGAACTTCAGACGAATCTTCTCTGAAAAAGTTAATAGATTAGCTTATTATGAAATAAAAATTTGTATCCAAATTTGCAAACTACCAAGTACAGGAAATATCTGTATCAGAGTGTTCCTACACTCAGTACAGATCTAGCTAAGGGAGTGTGTGCATCATATCTCCCTTTGTCTGCAGTGGAGTGTTAAAATAAGAGCTGTTATTGTCAATCCCACCAGTTGTGAGATGTGCTCTGGTTGATTGATTGATTAATTCTGTCGGAACGGACCTTGTCATGTTGCACGTCAGCCACTGATGGGCTTTTTGTTCTCCACGCCTGGTGCCTCAGAGTCCGTCAAACCTGAGTTGCTTAGTGAACTTCAGCATCCTATCTATGAGCTCCTCCTGAGGAAGGTGTCTGCCCCTTGTCATTGCTATTCCTTACCTCATTCAGAGCTGTACAGTCATAGAGTAGATGGTCAGCAGTCTCCTCGGACTGCCCACATTTCCTACATGCAGTGTCTCCATTGTGGCACTCAAGGTGCAGTTTCAGGAAGCCATAGCCAGTGACCATTCCTGTGATCTATCTGTTGCCTCCTGTCTAATGGTAGAGCATTGGAGGCGACCGTCTGGGAAGGGGAGAAGAGAGTGAGCTTACTTACCCTATGGTGTTGAAGCCTAAGCCATCTTTTCCTGTGTTCCTCCACAGCCCATAACATGACTGAGTGACATGCATACCCATGAGAAATTCCACAGAAAGGCTGTGGTCCCACAAAGTCTGAGGCTGACGCAACATTTGCTAGCTTGTCAGCCACCTCGTTCCCTTCTATCCCTGAGAGCCCAGGAACCCAACAGAGTGTTACCGTGTTGCACCTGCCCAGGTCGCATACTGCAGTGAGGCAGTCCCAGAGCACCTTAGACTTGAACTCGCAGGAGTTTAGCGCTTTAAGCGCAGCCTGGCTATCTGTGAAAATGGAAATGTTCATGTCCCTGAAGCCCAGAATCAGGTTCTCCCTAGAACAATACATTATCGCAGTTATTTCGGCCTGGAACACAGTTGGGTGTGTGCCCACGGGAACATCTATGTACACTGCCATCTATGTACATTCTTTGTAATTTAATTCATATAAAAAACAACCCCTAAAAATTTTCAAGCTATTCTCATCCATACAACACGAGGCACAAAAAAAACCTAGTCACACCTCAATTCAGACTTTCAAAAACTTTAAATAGCCATTTTTACATCCAACATATTTTCTTCAACAAGCTACCCACTTGTTTTCGTGAACTACCTCTAAACCAATTTAAAAGAAAAATTACTGAGTTTTTAAAATCAAAAGCATTATACACGCAGGAAGAATTTTTAAATAGTGACATATCATGTTTAGATTCTAAATAGGATATTGTATGTATTGAAATTTATAATTGATGTATGATCTATTTTTAAGTACTATTGTAACAATGCCTATTACAAAATGTTATGTTTAATGGCTGCAATAAATCTTATTGAATCTTATAGCCATTAAAATATGGCCTCACTATTATGGAAATAAAATAACGGACGATCAAAAACACAATTTTGTGCGATTTTTCAAGTTTTTTTCTCCATGTTTACTACATACGTCATTTATGAAATACTAATAATCTGTTAAGAGAACACGTCATATATGAAATTACGAACAGCTGTTTTGATAAAGATTCCTTTTTCTAGCTGTCACTGATATGTCGAGTGGGGGTGGCCCACAGACAGAAAGTCAGCTGAATGTGTGCTCCTGATTTTATCAAGTTTTTAAGTGGTTGTACAAAGTTTTCAAGTTAAAATTTTTGTGTAGTGAAATACGGTGAATTGGAAACATCCTTTGGTTTTTCATAGTATGACGGAGTTTAAGAGTAATTCGTTAAAATAGTATTTTAAAACCTGCAAATAATTTGGTTGTGGTAAGGGTATATCGCTTATCATAGCTGATAAGAAGGGTTAGCTGGACTCTGAACTTCCTACACTGCTTATATTGTGTTTGGAAGCTGCCCTGCTTATATCTCCAACACACATCACAAGATAAAAGATATTTTGTACTCAATAGACTATTTGAACTGTCACCGGCAAATGTTTGTTTGTAAACATGGGTAAATGTTAAAAAAAAAACTGAGGATTTATTTCTTATGACTTTATGGACATTTTTAATAGGCCTGTAAAGTAAACATATTTTTACAATGAATGCTACATTTTACTAACAACTATTTATAACAAGTCTATAACTTTAAGTTTTATACTTTTGTAACAGTATAAAAAGAGCATTTTTTATCTTGATTTTATTGATTCATCTTATAAATTTAAATGGATGACCAAATAGATAAACATATTTTTAGGCCTGGTGAAAGTATTTGTCACACTTAGGGGCTACCCAGCTTGGCCTGGAGTTGTTGAAAAAATTGAAGAGAAAAATAAAAAAGTTGTTTATAATGTTTTTTTCTTTGGGTCTTATGATTATAGCAACTGTACTTCTTCATTCATTTTCAAATACTCAGAAAATGTGTCAAAGTATGGCAATACTAAATCTAAAAATGCTTTACTAAAGAAAGCCCTTGAAAAGGCCTCACAGCTTGACTACCCAGCAGCAAGTAACAAACTGACACCTAAAGCAACAACTAAAGGAATAGGTAGCTCACCTGTTACTAACTTAACACCAAAGATTGTCAAACAGAATAATCCAACCAATAAAGCACATATCAAGACAAATATCACATCACCTACACTTAACAAATAAAAAAAAAAAACAGAAGTTTTACTTGACCTCAAAGTTACCTCAAAGTCTAGACATGCCCAACCCACAGATCCACCCTCACCTACCAGGAGAAATAAAGAAACTGTAAATGCAGAAACCGGTACATCAGATCGTCTGTCAATCTGTTTGTCTGTCATGGAATCTAAATGGCTTACAGACGACTCAGTTCTACTATATTATGACATGCTAACTGCCAAAGTACTTAAAGATGATATTTTATTGGTCAACTCAGTATTAACCCAGGTGATTAAGAGCTCAGAAGATACTGATTTTTTTGTCAAACCATTACAAATGGAAAAGAAATTGCACATTTTATTTCCAATCAACAATGCTCCAGCAGAAGAAAAGGTAGGGGGATCCCACTGGAGTCTACTATTGTTTGACAAGCCAAACAATAGCATGTACTATTTTGACTCTAAAGGAAGTTATAATCTGGTCCATGGCCAACGAACTGCAAAAAAGCTGTCCAAACATTTGGGGTTGGGAGAATCCACTTCTATAGTGAAGGTGCAGGTGTCTCAACAAACTAATCATGTAGACTGTGGGGTGTACGTGTTAATTTTTACTGATATACTTATTCAGTGTATTACAGAGTGAAGAATAAGCAAACTTAAAAATAACCCAAGCACCATCTGGCCAGATATCACTGAAAGTGATGTGCTAACAAAGCGAGCCCAGCTAGCCCTGCTTCTGCACAATAACAACTACACAACACTCAGCTCTGAAACCGTCACTGCCATGATGTACCATATTCCCTCCCCTACTTTAACTATTCCAGATACAGTGGTCTTGGAAACCCCCTCGCCTTCAAATCAACCATCAGTCTCTCAATCACATTCTTTTAGCCTAGTTACACCACAGTATACAGTCTCAAGATCTAAGGTCGCTCAACTTGCTCAATGTCAAAACAGCTCCTATTTAAGTTTAAACAACCGGTTTTCACCTTTGATCAACCTTGAGGATATCCCAAATAATGTTTTCCGAAGATGTAGCCAAGTCACCGATATTTGAGAAAAGGAAGGTGAATAAACAATGCAAAAATTGTTGTGAATCAGACAGCCAAATTAAAGCGAAAACATAGAAAACATGGATTAATAGAAATCACAAGTTGTTGTATAATACGGATAAGAAAACAAAAACAAACAAAGTTCATGTCTATGCTGACAGCCATGGGAAGGACCTTGGTAATTTGGTGGAAGCGTTGTTGCCAAAGCATATTGAAACTTTTGTTTGGGCTAGTTCTGGTGGTACTGTTAATCATATTCTGAAAAAAGCAGGCGATGAGATAAAAAATTGGACAAAAAATGACACTGTTGTTATTACTGCTGGTGCCAACAACATATGTGATGAAAATCAAAATCCGTCTAAAGACATACTTGAGCCATTAAGAAACTTTGCTTTGGCTAACAATAATACAAATGTTGTTTATTTAACCCAGCTTCACCGCCACGACTTGCCTTGGGACAGTCCCATCAACAAAGCAATTTACAAAGTCAACTGTGAGCTAAGGCAGTTAAAGAACCTAAACATTGTCAGTGTAAGTGACTTTACAAGAAAGTTCTTTAGCAGACAAGGTCAGCACCTGAATAGATGGGGGAAACAGGTTCTTGGTAGAAGGATAGCCGATTTTGCTATGTCGTTACAACTTGACATCAAACACACTCTTTTGGAAGAACAAACCAACTTAAAATTAATTAATAGTGATATGAAGGATATTTTGGATCAATACTGCAATAACTTGGAAGTGGGGTTCGCTCATTGTATTTCTAATGATTTTGAAAATAGCACCAAACACATGAGCCGAGTTGTTGCTGTTACATTCAAGGAAAAATTTGGGAAACCTAATAACTTAGATAATGTGGCAGCAATTTAACTTACCAAAAATCCAGGTACGGAGCTACAGTCTACAGTCTGGTGACTAAACCTAAATATTTCATGAATGCTACCAACTACTCAGAGTACCTTAGGGACTATGACAGTGCCTTTTTACAACTGACTAATGATTTTAAAGCTCATAACTTAAAGACTCTCATCTGTTCCCCGTTAGGTTGTGTGAGAGATCGTGTTCCAGTACCACATTTTGTATCAAATTTGTTGAAATTCAAGCAAAGTACTGGCACCTCTATAATAATTGTGACATGTGCAGAACTATCTAATAACAGGCTCTATAACGGTTTATCTCATTCATCATTTTTGAAATATTTGAAGCAGAACATATTTAATCAGTTTTTAGAAGAGAGCTCCATCATCCATGTTGAAAACACCTCACAGAAATCTAATACTGTACCACCTAAAATAACATCAACTACTTCAGTTTCACATCTGAAAGAGGCCTGCATCTTATCTTCACCGACTCAGCTACAACCTTCACTACTACAGTTTTATCACTAGTTCCGCCACCCCAGAAGTCTCCAGCGCCATTACCACAGCAGTCACTGGCACCTTCACTACGACAGTCACCTGTGCTGTCACCCCGGCAGTCACCAGTACCGTCAACTTCAACACGGCAGTCACCAACAGTGTCTAGTGGTGTGGGGGGTTTAAAAGTCAATGGGTGTGAAAGTATTGTGCTCAGTGATGAAATAATTAGAGTCAGTGATAGCAGTAGTCATGTCCAGTCTGGTGATTTTAGTTTTATGTCCACCAATACTGTAGTATAGATAAGGAAAATTGTGGGGATGAGTTAAAAAAAACAAAAAACTAGCATAGGTACCAACATTTTTTTAGAGAGCATGATCCAGTTCCCACCATTAAACTAATGAGTTGCTCGCATCTTCAAAATGCTCAGAATAATTCTAATTACCTTAATAATTGCCCATTGTGTAAAGAGGTAATGTCAAAACCAAAACATAGGTGGCTAATTCATTGTAATGTTCAGGGGGGCTTAGCCACAAAAATTGATGAATTGAATATTTTATTAAGAAATTCAAATGTTTTAATTGCTTTTTTTTGTGAACATTGGCTTTCTGGGGATACAATAAGTCTATTTAATTCTATTTCTAATTATACTTTAGCAGCATTTCATTGTAGGAGTTCATTAACACATGGAGGTACAGTAGAGTCCCGCAAACTCGGCGTAATGTGGACTGGAAGGGTGCCGAGTTTGTGAAATGCCGGGTTATCAGGAACTAGAGTTAAAAATAAGAACGATACAAATTTTAAGCTTTTTAACTGCCTTTTTTAATTAGATTTATAATACAAGTCAGTATTAAGTCATCGGATATAGTACAACAAATCCTTAGTACGAGTTACAAATGATTATACCAGAGCTGACTTGTGTGAATGACTAATTTTTTGAGCCAGGTGATGGCTGAGTTATCCAGACTGCCGGGTTATCGAGTGCCGAGTTTGCGGGACTCTACTGTACTTGTATATTGGTAAAAAGTGACAGAGAATATGTAGATAGACCAGATCTTTGTGTTTATAATGAGGATATGATTTTTGAAACTTCATGTATTGAAATCAAATCTTTTAATATTACTAGTGTCCCTGTTGCTCGAAATCGAGCAATTTCTAAGTATTACAGGCGTTATTTTAAAACAAATAACAGTAATAATTTTTGATGACTTTAAAAGATTCGACTCAAAGATTATGGAATACTCAAGATGTACATAACAGATCGATATAATCAACATTTTTTGTAAAAATATCTTATCATTTTTCAAAAGCAGACTTTTTTAGTGTTTTCTACATATAGCCTTACTCATAGCCGCATTAGGTTGTCCATAATAACAATATATAAAAAAAAACACACACATTATTTCTATTTCTTCTCCTTGGTGGTGTTTTATGACTTTGTTATGTTTCCATAGTTTGCAAATCGGCTCTTTCAATGATTACTAAGAAATGCAGCACAGTGTTAATTCAGTTTTATTTTTAGTATAACCATTTATCCAGGCTCTCTCGTTTTTTCCATTGTAATATTTACGCCAACCCAAATTCAAATAGTAACTATTTCATTTCAACCAAGTAAGTAAATGTTTGTAGCAAACTAACCGTTAAATTAGCAAACTTATTGACTGTGTTTACAATTAACATATGTCCTTCTTCTCACTTTTAATTTCTGACAACAGCTGGAGTATAAAATTACCTGAGTACTGCCAGAGTGATCCTGTTAGTCCTTACGGATTGGGATTACGCGTTTCGAGAAGCTTAAGTCCTCATCATCGAAGTGATAGATGTGTTTCTTGTACAAGATCTGATGATGAGGACTTAAGCTCCTCGAAACGCGTAATCCGTAAGGACTAACAGGATCACTCTGGCAGTATACAGGTAATTTTATACCTTTTATAATAAATTTAAGCTTGCCCATTTTTTATTACAAACAAAATTCTTTACACTAAAAAAGACACATATTCACACTATGATGCTAGCAAAGCTAACGACTTACTAATAAAGCAGAGTGTTTAGGTATTCTCCTGGGTTTTCATAACAATACCACACCGTATTAGTCATCTCCTATTCTATTAGTTTAGTATGATGTTAGTCATTGTTTGGAGGCACCAACCCCGAGAGTCAGTAGTGGAATGTTTGTAGAAAGATCTTTGCTGAGCTTCCACCCACCCCCCGCCTACACTACCACGCCGTGGCGCGCCAGGCCCAAGTGCCAACTTAGCTGTAACTACCTGTACCTTAATAAACTAGTATTTATTCACAAACAATTATATGTTTGCTGCCATTAGCAGAGTTAAACCTATGTAGTGATTCAAATGGTTTATTGAAGAAAAAAAAATCATCAACAAAGGTAAAGACAAACAACAAACTGTTTTTTACACAAAAGATATGGTGTACAGAGAATAGAGATATCTATTCTGACACATAGATAATATATTTCTGAGTCTGTTTGAATATTAGAATAATTTGTTTTACATTATTGCCCTTTTTATGGACTTATGTCCCTACAAGCCACTAGTTTATTATAATATCATTCTTTGGACCAGAAATATTAACAGGATTTTTTGTTGTATCAATCACATAATGGTCTATTTTCTATAAATTCTTTAAAAACATCTGAACTAATGTTCCCGACCAGGTCCGCAGAGTGGATGTTGAACTGGTGGGAAAGTCAATGACAAAATCTGTAAAAGTTGTTATTTCTTTAAGACATTTTTAGAGCCAATGCTCAATTTCTCACTCTGCCTTCACTCATTACCCCTCTGCTGTAAATAACGCTAACCTGGCAATAATCTTCAATTGGCGTGTCAATTTTTACAAACAAAAATCTGATCACAGAGCCCACCTCACAAATGGCGGGACATTGCAATGACAGCACACATTTTAACACTCAGACAGAGAACGGGAGATAAGATGCACACACTCCCGTAGCTGGATTCATACTGTGGTAGGAACGCTCTAATACTAAGATGGCAGCTATAGCACAGCCCCAAGCGGTGCCAATGGGAAACGTTCTCTACTTTCTGGACAGCCCTTGGATTTAAATGTGATTTAGAAGTTAAAATCTGATAAAATAGGGTTAATCATTTTAAAAACACAAGTTAATAGAGTTTTAATTATTATCTTTACCTGTTTGTATGATATGTAGAAACTTCTCCTTTGTCAGATTTGTAACGACCACTATTTTGAAGAACCATCTTCTTAAAAAATGAAAAAGGATTTCAACTTGCAACGGATTTCTGGTAGGTCGTATCTGTAACCAACCAGAATCTTTTAATCAATAATGAAAAAATATGTGTAAATTTTTTATGAGAGATGTTCAGAAAGTAACGCAATAAAAATTAAAATTGTAAAATGTGACAAACTTAACAATAATTGTTGGAGGAAAAACTTTTGTGTTACATTAGCTTAATCATGTAGTTTACATTCATGTAAGTGCATTTATCATGCCATGGAGTCAGCTTTTTGATATGCTGAGCTTGGAAACAGGCAGCTTGTGATTCTATTTTTTTCCTCTAATTTATGAAGCAGTATTTGTTCAACTATTAAGGGGGTACCAAGCTTTGAACTACTGTTTCATAAAGTATTCTCCATGATATCGTTAAAAATGTTGATGATCCTGTAATTGTAAAAAAAAATCTTAAAGAGTTTTGAGGGTGAATTTTACCTCCAGTTTATTGGTTACATGACTAGCTCCATTACTGTGATAGCATCTTTCAGAGCATGCATTCAAAGACAACCACAGTCAGTTAACCTCTGTCTCGCTTGGCTTTTATCCAATATTTATTTCATACATGTTATTCCTGACTGTGCATTTTAGTTGGTTATGAGTTTTTTTTTTACATAAAAAACCATATCACATACCCATTTCGCAACTGGCCAATTTTTTCATGCAACACTTACTTTAAATCATGTTATGTTCGAAGTGCACAGGCTACAACTATGGATGGTACTAGACCTGTTCTTTACAAACTAAACCAATTTTATTACTAGTTACGGTGAACATTTTATATCTGACTCCATCTCCATTGTATTTACAAACAATAAAGAACCATCGTTACTTTCAATCACATCAATCATTGACTGCTTACCTTCAATAAATTATGTCATACGATGTTTTCATTAACAGAGTAATTAATGTAAACAAAAAATAAATAAACTAAACCTACTCCAACCACATGATTAAATTGCAATATACAGTACAATCTAGATTAACCGAGGTTTTTGGGACTGAGACTACCGAGGTTTTTTGGGACTGAGACTACCTCGGTTACCGAGAATCTCGAATAACACAGAGGTCTCTTATATTTTGAGGTTCGGGGGTACGGTATTACATTAGGAAGTGAAATATTTGTAAAATATAAGTTTTAACAATACATTGCAAATAATTTTGATCAATTGGTATTTTCATGCAAACATGTTTTTAAATAAGGTCTTGAAAAACTTAAATCGTCTTCAACACTATAAATACAGTATTATTAAAGTTATGCAAAGCGAACACACAACAGTATTAAATAAATAGCCCCGCTGCAGCAAACCTGCAAAATTTCCATTTGCCTGTTTTGATTTTCAATTAAATCCATTACAATAACATTATGTTTAACGAGTACCTAGGTTTGCTGGCTACAGGGAGGGTATAAGATGTGTTTTTTGGATAGGTAATATTAATAGCTTAGGCCTAGTATAAAATAAATAAATTTGCCAAGTTTGATGAAAATATATCCATAAACAAGCAAACTACAACAGTATACCTACTTGTTTTTGATAAGAATAACATGGATATCCTAGCCGCCAGCAAACCTGCAGACTAAGCGAATTTCCATTTACCTGGCTGAATTTCTACTCAAATATTCCCTGAAAATTTTCAGCTTTATTTCCTATTTAAATAACATTAATTTCAATGAGTACCTAGGTTTGCTGCTACAGGGGAGGTATTGAGGTGCGTTTTTTTATTGAAATGGTGATAGCTTAGTATGAAATAAACAAAATTGCCAACATTGATCAAAATATATCCATGAAAAAGCAAACTACAACAGTTTATTTATTCTCCGTAAGAATAACATGTGAATTTTAAATCTAATTAAATATACATTAGGGAAATATACAGCCCGATGTGTAACTCACTGACTCACTGATCAGGTATACTAATGTTTGGGAACTTCTAGATGTGCTAGGGAGTTGAGATTTGGTACGCATGTGGGTCTTGGGCCCAAACCCCCGGGAAAATCCCGAAAAGTCCAATTTTTTTAATTCAACCCTCCCTAAAAGAATTCCTCCCCCATGTTATTCTTATGAGTAATATAATTGAAAGTTACCTGGGGCACTTCTGGATGGGCTGGGAAGTTGAAATTTGGTACGATAACGGGTGTCCGCCCTAAACCACCGGGAACGTTCCGAAAAGTAACATTTTCCCTTTTCAACCCCCCCAAAAAAAATTAAAAATGGCGCATTCAAAATGAATTTTGATGTAGGGGTGTTTTTAAAACGTGCGTGGTGGCTTTCCCTGCGGTCTGATCGAAAAACGGAGGGACTACTTTGATCTTCATTTTGAACGAGTGGCAACTTTATAATTTATCATTTTTTCCTATTTCCACCCCTTCACCCTTAGGTAGCAATCGGCTTTTTGGATTTTACGATTTCTTCTTAAAATTTCGTTGTTCGAACGTCTGTTGCGGCTTAACCGTAGGTCCGATCGAAAAACGGAGAGCACTTCCAGTCACTACTTTTTCACGATCTACAACTTTGTAATTTAACATTTTTTACCCCTTCACCCCCAAATTCAGACTTGAACTTACAATTTTGCCTAAATTTTCAAGCTTTTTGATGGTTTTGGCTGCCCCTGAGTAGGTTAAAACCCCATTTGGGCAGGTTTGACCTTATAGTTCTCTTAACATATGTCCAAAGTTACTTCTTAGCCTGATTGGGGATTTTTATCCACCGTGCTTAACCCTAAAATTGGGGGGATGATTGTAGTAAAAAAATCAAGATTTTTGAGATTACTTTTGATTTAAAATTACACAAACGTAACATTACATAAAATCCTAGTAACGTTTCGTGTACTAATTTTTATAGTGTATATTTTGTTCCGTTACGCCTTTCACCAATCTTCACCCCAACCCCTTCAAATTCAGGCTTGAACTTGCAATTTTGCCTTATTTTCCCAGTTTTTGGTGGTTTTGGCTACCCCTAAGTAGGTTAAAAACCAATTTGGGCAGGTTGGACTTTATAGTTCTCTTAAAATATGTCAAAAGTTACATCTTAGCCAAATTGGGGATTTTTATCCACCGTGCTTAACCCAAAAATTGGGGAGATTTAAAAAAAAAAAAAAAAATCAAGATTTTTGAGATTTTTTTTATTTAAAATTACACAGTAAAATTACATAAAATCCTAGTAACGTTTCGTATAGTAATTTGTACAGTGTATATTTTGTTCCATTATGCCTTTCACCTATCTTCACCCCAACCCCTTCAAATTCAGGCTTGAACTTGCGATTTTGGCTTATTTTCACTGTTTTTGGTGGTTTTGGCTGCCCCGGAGTAGGTTACAAACCCATTTGGGAAGGTTGGACTTTATAGTTCTCTTAACATATGTCCAAAGTTACATATTCGCCTAATTGGGGATTTTTACCTACCATACGTAGGCCTGAAATCGGGGGGGGGGGGGGGATGATTTTTAGTAAAAGCCAAATATCCCGGTTTTTATGATTGCCGTCAATTTAAAAGTACACAAACGTAAAATTATATGGAATTGAAGTAATGTTTCTTATACAACTTTTAATAGTGTACATTTTCTTCTATTACACGTTTTATCCATCTGCACTCCAACCCCTCCGAAACCCCCCATTTTGATAATTTTAAAAATGTCCATTTTCCTGATTCAACTCCCTTCCATGGGTTAAAAATATCCCCCAAAAATATCTTAAATAAAAAATATTTTAAATAAAAAATATCTTGAATAAAAATATCTTATGGATAATAATTGAGTGGAGAATAAAATATGTTATAAAGCATATTAAAGTCTTGAAAACCATAACGTAAGTCGGCGATGGTCGTAAATGATTTTTAAAAAGTGAAAAAGAGGCCCCTCATGTGTTACATCACCCCTAAAACTAAGAAATCACCCCTTTAATGCCTTAAATTACATGTCAAACCGTTTCTAGACGTTCTAAATATTTTTAATTTATGTAGGTTTAATTTTGTAAAACGTTTTTTTTTTTTAATGACAACCAAGTTGAAAGTCGCTGTTTATGCTAACCCCCTCCCCTCTTGCAGAAACGGTACTAGTGGCAATACCCTTTCACCCCCAAATTCAGGCTTGATCTTGCAATTTTACCGTATTTTTCCTGTTCTTGCAGGTTTCGGCTGCCCCGGAAAAGGTTACAAAAACCATTTGGGCATTTTTGACTTTATAGTTCTCTTAACATATGTCTAAAGTTACTTTTTAGCAAGATTGGGGATTTTAACCAACCATACTTAACCTTAACGTTAGTCCCTAATATTTCAAACCCCCCCCCCCTGGCTGAATCGGGAAAGTTGGCGATAATAACAAAGTTACCTCTACATGCACTTTTAATTTTTTATGTTCTGAACGCAACGGCGTGGTCGGCCCCCGGATTCTTCATGCCGATGATTTCAACCCCCCCCCCCTCGCCCACGATGGGGGACTAAGATTAATTCAAATATTCTTTAACCTCACTCTCACTCCTAAGACTGTAACTTTGTATCTATGCTTCTGAGCTGAAGAAAGTTTTAGAGATGGTGACTTAGCAAATTTAATTTATCAAAGCACCGGCCCCACATCGAGACTCTAACATATCAAGACTGCCTTGATTTGCATTAAACCACCCCTCTATGGAATACTTCGCAACTGCCAAGTTATCACTACGTCTTTTACGCAAAAACAATTCCCGGACAACATCCTGTCCCCCGTGAAAATTTATCATCACGGCCACTATTAAAAGGGGGCCCCCAGCGAGCACAAGGCAACTATACAGCCCGATGTGTATCTGACTCACTGGGGAAACAAATGTTTGAGCACTTCTGGAATAATCTTGAAATCTGAAATTTGGCACTCTTGTAGGTCTTGGTCCCAAACCCCCGGGAAAATACTAAAAAGTTGAATTTTTTTATCTAAACCCCCCCTCCCCGAAATTTAGAATTCCCCACCATGTTAATCTTAAGGGAAATAACATTGAAAGTTGCCGACTTTAGTATGCTCAATTGAACGATTTAGAAACGTGCTAGAGACTTGAAATTTCGGAGTATTGTAGTATGGGATGTAAATTAATCATGAAATTTGCAAAAGTCCAATTTTCAAATTTAACCCCCCCCCCCAAAATACAAAATGGCGGACCTCTGAAAACGACAAAACATGTTTTTTTTAACGGCTATAGCTCGAAAACGGTAAGAGCTAGAAACGATTAGAGGAAAAATCGTCGGTTCGGAATTAAATATCCTACAAGACAATATCATGCGTTTTTCGGAAATCGCACTCCTTCGCCTTAAAAAAAACGCCCTACTTTCAAAAGTTGGTAAATTTCTCCCAAGCTTTTTACGGGTTTTGCTTCTTTTCCCAACCTAAGTAAATTAATTTTTCAAATATTATTAATGCTTTGTATTCTACTTAAAAAGGGGGACCTCTATTTACTTCAGTATAATACTTCACTATTATCAACTTATCAATTTACTCTAATATATTCGTGAAATGGTTATTACTTCAACATCGATTTTCGCTATTACAAACCCAATTTATTTTAACTTTGACCAAAAACCCAGTTAGTTGTAAAAATACTTTACTAACATACTCTCTAAACGCAACTTTAAAAAAACAATTTTATAAGGGGTTCTTTAAGGTGGGGCTTGAAATAAACTTGCCAATCTCCTCTAATATATTCGTGAAATTGTTTTTATATGACGTAATATTGACTGTTTCACTGCCTGCTTTGTTACAACTCTAATCTACTAATGACGACTAACAGCTAGGGGGCCTGGGGGCGGAGCCCCCAGCGAGCCAAAGGCGAGTCCATATTATATACAGCCGAAAGATTAGGCACTTCTAGAATAGCTAAGGAGCTGAAATTTTTTGTTAAGGTCCGTCTAGGTCCTAAACCACCAGGAAAATCCCAAAAAGTTACATTTTCAAATTACAACCCCCCCCCCCCCCAAAAAATTCCATTAAAAACGACCATTTTTGGGAAAAACACGTTTTTTTTTAAACGGCTGTAGCTCGAAAACTGTAATTTGAGCTAGATTCGATTTGAGGAAAATAGTAGGTTCGACATGAAATTTTCTACAAGACACTATTAAGCGTTTTTCAAAAAGCGCACTCCTACACCTTTAAAAAACGCCCTACTTCCAAAAATAGTAAAAATTAGCGATTTTTTACATGTTTTTAATTTTTAAAACGACTTTTCATACATATATTTCTACTTTTTATGCTCCCAACGTTGAAAGTGAAGTGCCTAAAGTGACCTTATATAATGAACCTAAATGCGTTTAAAACTCCAAGTGATATTTAACATTGAATATCGACTTGTTTATTTTTATGTGTCCAGATCAAGCTTTTGTTAATGATCATCAAACATTCTTTTGGAAAAAATAGGTCAAAAAGCAACCCATCTATCGTTCAGGCATGGCTCGATGAAACACACGTCATCGTCAACCCAACACTAAATTCTTTCGATCCAACTGCTTGGTTCAGGATCATGCCTTGGGGCTTTAAAGAATTGTGAGAGAGTAGGTAAGTGTAATCATAAGTTGTTTTCAAGCACAATTTACACTATTTTTTTTAATTTAGTTACAACAGGGACAATCTGTACCATACATCTGTAAAATGTGGGAAATCAATAATTACTAATTTCAACCAATACGCATAGGCTGCCGCTGCATTTCCAAATGTTAATCATTCCATTGTAAAACAGAACTCCATCGACGTTTATCATGTTTATTTTTAAAAATGACAGCCCAAACCTTATATTCTTCATGTAGAAATGTATTTATGTATGCTCTTTCCATTGTATGCTGCATTTCCAAAAGAGATAAGCCTTCATCATGTTTCTATACAATATCATGGACGGATCCAACGACTGATTGACTAATCCTGCATCGGTCCATAAGGTAGCATTACTCTACGTCCTTTGAATAGTTTAAGACGTTTTTAAGAACCAGGCATTCATCATAATTCACCGTTATGGCTATATAAGATTTGTTTTTGACACAAAAGAATGCCAAAGAATATTGCCGCTTAGCCAATTTGTTAAGGTTGAAATTTAAGTAGGCCTAGCTGGGTATTTATTTGTTATATCATGATTAGGCTAATCACCAAGACTCAGAGATTTCATTAGTATTTTTCATAAAAATTATATTTTTAACCGGAATTGATTTATATAATAAGCAAAAAAATAAAAAACCAGAGTACTCTGAAATTCATTTTTATTTAAACAGATATGTATTTCGGCACTAAGGCCATGATCACAGTATGAGTTATATGAAAGTATCACAAATATAAATAATCTATCTATCTATATATTAATAGGCAAGCATGTTTCTTTAAAACCTTTTTTCTCAGCTCGTGTGCATCGTGGGGTAAATCTACGCATACCGTTAGAAAGCTACTTTCCTGTAGGTGTGCAGAATCCCTTTATAAATTTAAATAGGCTCAAAGATAAGCACAAAAAATGAGTTTAAAAATTTGAAAAAATTAACATGGATCTTATGCGTTGCCATGCTGGTGACGAAATAACAACGAAATATAAACATAAAATCAAAACAAATGGAAGAAACTCCAATCACATGTTTTATTTACAGTGTGGGGTGAAAATAGAGAAGTGAGTAAGTTTACATTACATATTTATGGTCGAGTTTCGACCACTGGACGACCTCTCGTTTATATAAATATAAATATCTTAAGATGAGCCATTTTCTAAATGAAGAGTTAACTTACAATCATAATCAAGAACATTACTTGTCCATGACATGGACAATAAAGAAAGGGGAGATTGGGAGATGCAAGAAGATTAGGCTACTTGTAACAGCCAGGTTTAATTTAATTAGGTAGATTCTCAATGATGAAGTACCGTATTGTAGGCCATTGATCATTGAAGGTATTATTAATTAACTGATTCTTAATCATTTAGAAATATCCTAAGATTATTTGCATAAATCTTTGTTCGCTCTGATCAATTGGCATATATGAGACCACATAGCCTACCTAGTTATTTTCTGAACCAGCTTTCATAATTCTACACCCTGAAGGAGCATCAGTTGAGGGGCCTAAAGTTAATTCCAACAGTCTACTTATTTTGAGGATCATAAGAGTTTAGATTTAGAACCGTCCTAAGGTAGGCGAATTAACTGTGCCAAACCTAACATATATTTCCAAAACTTCAATTAAATTAATATTCAGTAATAAACAGAAGGCTGTAAATAAGTTACTGCACTAAATTTATTACACTAGGCTAACTTATTTATTCCCCACTTAAGCTACGTTTTTATTACCAAAAGTCGCAGGTACAAGTCGCGGCACATGTTGCACGTAGTTTGTCATACCGTTTCCATTCCAGGCACATGGGGCACAAGTCCCGCGACTACAACTGGCAGACAAGGTAAGGCTCTCTTATTGTGATGTGGTGAGGTTCGGTAGCTGATTTTGATTATCTAAAAATCGCTATGGATGACATAACAGCCTCTGCTTTTTAATTTGTGGCTGGTGCATGCAATGAACTTAGAAGAAAAAGACAAAAACAACCTAGATGGTGGATAAGTTTTTAGGCTAAAATACCATTGGAAGGCGCATTTGATTCATTTAGCCTATGAGAGATTTGCGCGAACAAAGTTGCTTCGAAAATATCCTCCAACGCACTCAACGAAATTTGAGCTTATGATTACCTGTCATCTATGAGCATGTGGTATTTCAGAGGACCTGGGCATGCACCAGTTGCAGGCACATGTGCCCGGCTGTTTCCATTCCAACTGGGCACATGTTTTCGCGCAGTCGGCGGGCACAAATTTGTGCCAGGCACTAATGTGGCGACTTGTGCCAGGCTGTTTCCATTCCCACAAATACCGTACGGAAATTTGTAGGAATGGAAACGTATCTTGAGGCTAGGTTTCTCCCAAAGACTAAACCTTTATGGTTGTAAAGTTAAAACATCCAGGATAATTTTACCTAGGCCCTACATCAAAATAAATTCGTCATGATTTTGAATTTCAATCAGTCCAAAAAACATAAACACAATATACATACCTTTGAATCCTTAGTAATAAATTAAGTAATTGTCTAATCTAAACATTTAAAAGTGATGGCTAGTGCTAACCTAAATAAATCTTCAGGCCCTATGCTGGAATAATATTATTTTATAATAATTAGTAATTCAATCACTGTTAGTAAAATATTGAATCGTTCACTTTACATTATTAACAATTAAAATCTAAAATCGCTAATAAAACTGAAAGTTAGCTTATAAGTTTTATTCTTTCTGTTGCTATAAAACGATAACGAAAACGAGTAACGAACGACTAACGAGTAACGAGAGCGAAAGCGAAAGCTTTAAAGCTATAGCTCAGCTCTGCACTGCACTCCGCAGCAGCCGACATAAAGGAACGGACAACGGAGTTGAGAAAACAACTAACAACAACAGACCACAATAGACAAACCTTTACGTCATTCCCGCGCAAAATTATTATAGCCTATATTTCAGACAAAGAGTAAGAAGCGTAATCTATCCTAAAGTCATGGATTATAGTATAGATAAAACATACTCCTCAAGATTATAGGTTCATAGTATAGTATAGTATAGTACATAGAGGGCTAATTTATTTGAACAAAAATTGATTTTTAAAAAGAGATCGTAAATTGAAAAAACTCCGTTGTAGATCCTTCATCCAGCTGAAAAATATATCTAAGTTCGGTAATGCTATCTGGCACTAATGGGTGCTGTTTATTTATTGTTATTTTACAGAAGCTGGTTTCCTGTTTATATAAACTTGTTCCGACTGGGTAGCTGAGTGGTTTAAGTGCTCACCTAAACAATCACAAGGTCGCCGGTTTGATCCTGAGAAAAGTCTAAAGCTTTTTTGATTGTTCAAAACTGGACCCAGCTGTTCCTGATCATTGGGGTTTTAATAAATGATCCTGGCTAATAAAACAGCTTATCAGTCAGTAACAAAGCTACGCCGATCATCATATCACATCATTCTACACTCATCCTTAACTCAAATTTGGCTTTAATTACGCACCTAGATGGCGTCCCCCTCAATTGATATGCTTGGCAAAAAAACATCAATAGTATCTGCAGAGCATATGCTATACACAAGCATTAGAACAAATACCTGTACATCCCGAGATAGATAAATGTGACACACAAATGTGATATCTATTGTGTTATCTTCACTGACTCACAGGTAGTCATACAAAAAATTAAGAAAACACATAAGATGGGCAGTGCTAGGAGCAGTTAGAATTGGAGATTGTAGACCAGCTTATATCACTCAACCTGAAGACCATTGTGGTGCAGTGGATATCAAGTCATTTATAGGAAATCCTGGCAATGAAAATGCGGACAAACTAGCCAAGACTGCATGCTAATTCTAATCAAGACATAGACAATAATTTCCTTACACCCCTATCACTATCAGACTTAAAGGCTAATGTTAAACAGAAATACAAAATACAAGCATCAAGAGAATTTGGATAATAGTAACATCCCCCGCCGCAGCAAACCTGCAGACTAAGCGAATTTCCATTAACCTGATTGGATTTACACTAAAATGCCTCCATAAAACTAGCACATTTATTTCCTATTTAAATAGAATTAGTTTAACGAGTACTTTTGGTTTGCTGCAACAGGGAGGGTAAAAAAATTATTTTTTTAATAAAATGATAATAGTTTAGTAAGAAATAAAAGTATTTTCCAAAATCGATCAAAATATGTTCATAAACAAGCAAACTACAACAGTTGACTTATTCTCCATAAGAATAACATGGGAATTTTAAAATTACAATTTTTTGAATTTTCTCCGTAACAATTAGGCGCATAATAACGCTTCTATATACTAAATTATTTGTTTTTTTAAGCTCTACAAAATGGTTTAAAAAGAAATTGTGAAATTTTGTGTTTTTAGGGTCAAAAATGGAAAAACCCTATTTTTACCCCATAGAACCCCCTATAAACCCCCGTTCCCATAGTCCGATCATGCTGGTTCGCGAACTCATTCAAGTTTATCCCGCCTTACACCTTCAAACCAAATTTTATCAAAATCGGACAAAAATTACTCAAGTTATCGTGCGGATGGACACATATATATATATATATATAGATATATAAAATTTTGAACGAATGGTGTTTTTGGCCTCTGGGAAGATCAAAATGAAAAATAAATCGGTCCCGGGCTTAGGTCTTACCATGAGACCTATGGTAATAGCTACTTCCCTATAGGGAAATTCGCTAAAAGGACAATGGTACAAAACTATACAACCAAAAAAGCACCAAAATAACCGGTTACCAGTATAATGCTACAAGGCTATTTCAAATGAAGAAGAGGGAATAGGGAATCTCCGTATTGCACCAAGTGTGAACTAAGACAACTTGAAACAATAGAGCACATCATTACAGAGTGCACAGCCTACAATAGGATGTAAAAATGCCTATACCCAAAAATAAAGAAAGCTAATGGAATTCACCACCAGCTGTCCTAACGCTCCTTATGGAACAAAATTGCAAGCTATTGACACCATTAGGCTACTAAAATTGTTAAAAGAAACAGGAATCCAACTTTGAGTTTGAAATATTATGAAACTTGAACTTTAAATAGTTAAACAATACATTCAAATTGAAAATTCTTAACTAGCATCATAGACTAGACAACACAAGGGACACTAGGGAAGTATGTTTTATCGTAGATAAAACCTTGAGGAGTATGTTTTATCTATGATAAAACATACTCCCTTAGTAGATTTCTCATCCTTATGGAACAGCTGAAGACAATTTTATTGTTAGTTCTGTACGGTTTATGTAAGAGGTCGTGTTTTGTTTACAATTTGTTTCCCGTTATTACAGCCATTTAAAACCTCGTTTAGCCAAATAATACGATCTAATCATAAACAATAACTTGTCCCCTAGTTATATAACCAAACAGTAAAGCGCAAATCAAGAAATTAACCCTAAAATAATAGAAACAAAGTTTCGTCGACACTAGCGCCTTTGTGTCACGTACATGAACTAGACACGAAAAACGTGCTTCAAAATTTACAATGGGATGAGAAGTCTACTTGTGTTGGTTAGTCTATGGTTTTATCTATGCTAGAATTTTGAAAAAGCACGGGAAAATTGAATTGATGAAATAGTGTGGCTTCATGGTAGTTAAACCAAGCCAGCTTTACTAAAGCAAACAATAAAGAAGAAGAAGAAATCTATGCCAAGCCACAAGGTGGGCAGATTTTCCCATCCTTGTTAGTCAGTCGTGACGTCATCGTTGATGCGATGCAACTATCGTACTGGTATCGCATAGCTCCACAAGTCAATAGTCGATATCGAATACCCCTAATTTACAACTTTACAGAATCGCTGAAACGAAACGCTTCCATCTTCTTTCTCGAATCTTGGTTAAGCACGGGTCACACTAGGCTGTTCGCCAGCCGCTGGTGATCAGCAGCTGGCACCAGCATCACCGGCTCACCAATCCAGGCTGAGTCAGCTCAGTGTCAGCTGCGAATTTTGTGGTCACATTAAGCTGACAGTCGCGGCTTCTTTCAATTCGCCGCTGATGCCAGCCTAGTGTGACCCGTGCTTTAGGTTAAGTTAGATACTTAGCAACTTATAAAAGTGGACTGCGGAGAGATACACATTCAAGCAAGAATTGATCCTAAACCTTGAACTAATTTTGTGACCTTTGTGAATTCTGAATACCCATAGGCTGGCCATATTGGGAATGGGATATAGATTCCAATAGGTCTATGTTAATAGATTTGGAAGCTTTAAGTTAGCTGGGCTTCAGAAGTCTTTAACACTGCTTTAAAGTTTATAGGCCAGGTCTAAACCGTGTAGATGATTAGAGGTTGGATCTTCATTGCTATTTTGATGCCATGCCAGGCATGATGCCTTTGAATTATAAAGAGGATTATTACCAAAATAATAGGACCTAGGACTTGCAAAGTAGGCTACATAGCCTCTTGTATCAAACCTTGACTTTGCCTATTGCATGATTGTAATGCTGAAGGACAATAAAAACATTCTGATTCTGATTCTTGGTGTTCAATTAGGCCTGTTATGTTATTTTTGGCCTACGTCTAAATTAAGCATTTGAAATAACCAACTTAATAAGTCCAACATTGTTGAATGAAAATCAGTAAAATAAAGTCCAATCTTGTTAAAGATCCCCGAAATTATGTTCCATTAAAAATTACGAAGATAGTTTTTTCTAGGTAGTTGCCCTTACATAATTAAAATGACCGAAAACATAGTTGTGGGCGTACGGATTTTGGCCATAACCTTTATAATAGCTTTAAGTTCTTGTTTATTATATCTTTTACTTGGCCACAAGCCAAGTCCAACTTGGTTATAAGCTCCTTTTTACCGATAATACAATTAGATTTGCGTATGAGCGGTAAATTTAAATTACAGACCGTTCTATAACTTTAGTTTAAAAGGGTTTTCTACTGTGACTATCAGAATCATACTTCATATTCATAGATTCAGATTGTAGAGAAACAACCTTAACCTACATTAATAACAACCTACAACCATAACCAATAACCACGATGTTAACGAATTCGACGCGAATAACGATCAAAATATCGATAGACGATATTTAGAACTACATCGACTTCCCGAATCGATCGAACCAACGATGACGTCACGACTGACTAACAAGGATGGGAAAATCTGCCCACCAAGCCGCAAGCCATCAGAACATGGAATGGGCACACGGAAGGGACTAAGGCTAAAGGTGTAGTGACGTCATATCTCTAGTGGTTAATGTCTTCTCTTGAGGCGACACGATTACCGTAACGAAACGATGTGATTTCTGCGGCGTTCGTGGCATAGTTGGTAGCGTTTCGGTTTGGTGTTCAGGAGGTCCGGGGTTCGTAAACCGCCGGCAGCACTAACTTTTTGTCAACAAATTTTTCATTTCAGCAAGTTTGGTTGGTTAGGTTAGGTTATGACAGTTTAATTTTATAATACTAAATTTTAAAATTAATTTTATAATTAATTAAAAATTATAAGTAATCATTAATTTGGATGTTTATCTTATATGGTTTTTATATTATCAGCAAGTCTGGTTGGTTAGGTTATGTTATGACAGTTTAATTTTAAAAATTAAAAATTAATTTTATAATTTTAAAACAATATTTTATAATTAAAAAGTTAATTTTATAAAAAAAATTAAAAATTAATTTAAATTTTTTCAACTTAGCAGTCCTATCGGCGAACACCAGGCTGAAGTTAGCTGACGATCATCTGACGAATGCTAGGCCATAAAACTGCCAGGACGAAACAATAGGAACACTCGCTGCAACTTACAACAGACCAGCGCTTGGTCCTGGTCCTG